TCATCCATACCAGGGATGCAGGGATGGTTCAACATAAGCAGATCAATACATGTAATGCAATATATTAACAAAACCATAGACAAAAATCGTATGATCATCTCAATAGATGCAGAAAACACATTGACAAAGTCCAACAGCCATTCATAATAAAAATCCTACAGGGCTGGGGAAATAGCTCAGCAGAATAAGTGTTTGCCTGGCAAGTGCAAAGTCTTAAGTTCAATTCCCAGTTCTGCCAAAAAAAATCCTACAGAAAACTGGAATAGATAGTCTTTACTTCAATCTGATAAAATCCATCTATAACAAATTAACAGCTAACATCATACTAAGTGGTTAAAAACTGAAAGCTCAAGACTGGGCGTGGTGGCGCGCGCCTGTAATCCCAGCTCTTGGGAGGCTGTAAACAGGTGGATCACTACGAGTTCAATCTAGTAGTGAGACCCTGAACACCCTTTAGACCCTTCCCTAAAACAAAATTGAAAAAAAAAAGTTTTCACTCTAAAATTAGGAACAAGATAAGGATATCCACTATCACTACTCTTATTTAATATACTTCTGGAAAGAGCAATTAGGCAAAAGAAAGAAGAAGGAATAATGATAGGAAAGGAAGACATCAAATTATAATTATTTGAAGATTACATGATACTCTACATGAAGACCCCAAGAACTCCACCAAAGGATTCCTAAATTCAGCAATACATGGGATACAAAATCAACACTCAAAAATCAATATTTCTGTAAACAAGAAACAAACTCAGAAATCAGGAAAGCCACACCATTTACAATAGCATCCAGAAAAATGATATACTTGGGAAGCAATCTAACAAAGGAAGTAAAAGATCTATACATTGAAAATTATAATACTCTGAAAAAAGGAGACTCAAAAGGATCTCAGAAAATGACGTATAGGGGCCAGGGATATAGCTCAGCATTCTAAGTACCTGCCTGGCAAGTGCAAGGACCCAGTTTCAATCTCTGGTACCGCATATATTAAATAAAGAAAATGAAGCATAAGCATCTGCCTGGCAAGCAAAAGGTCCTGAGTTCAATCTCTGGCACCAAAAGAAAAAAAGAGATATCCTTTGTTCATGGAGAGGAAGAACCAACAAAGTGAAGAGGGCCATGATCCCAAAGCTGTTATACTGACTCGATGCAATGCTGATTAAAATAATAGTACACCTCACAGATCTAGAGAAAACATTCCTAAAATTCATCTGGAACCAAAAGACTTTGAATAGCAAAAGCAATCCTGGCCAACAAAGGCAAGGCAGGAGGCATCACAATCGCTGACTTGAAATTATACTACAAAGCTACTACAATAAAATCAGTATGGTACTGGCCAAAAATGGAACTGAGGATGAATAAGCCAGATTAGAAGATGCAGACACAACTAACTACAGACACACTCAGCCATCTTATCTTAGACAAAGAAACCAAACAGTTTCACTAAAAGAAAGTCTCTTTGACGAATGGTGCTAAAAAAAAAACTGGCTCTCTACATGCAAAAGACTACAATTAGACCCATGTCTATCACCGTACACTAAACTAAAGTCAAAATTAATCAAAGGTATAAATACTAAAATAGAAACACTGAATTTACTGGAAGAGAATATAGGTAGAAATCTTGAAGAAGGTGTAGGCAAAAACTTCATAAACAAAACCCAGACTGTAAAGGAGATACTACAATCAACAAATGGGATCTCTCCTTATTAAAAAGCTTTTGTGGGCTGGGGAGATATCTCAGTGGCATAAGTGCCTGCCTGGCAAGCACAAAGTCCTGAGTTTGATCCCTGATACCATTTTAAAAAAATTTTGGGGGGCTGGTGAGATAGCTCAGTGGTCTAAAGCACCTGCTTAAGCAAGCTTAGGCAAATGCACAGGGACCACAGTTCCATCCCTGAACCACATGCTGGGGCCAGGGAGATAGCTCAGTAGGGTAAGCACTTGCCTGATACATGCAAGATCCTGAGTTCAATCCCCTGTACCACCAAAAAAAAAAAAAATGAGTGAACCACATGCCGCACCAGCCCCATACCCAGGGCAGGCTGAGCTGGCCAAAAAAAATGCTTTTGTACAGTAAAAGAAGTTACCAACACAGTCAAAAGACAACCCACAGAGTAGGAAAAAATTATAGCCAGCTGTCCTTCAGACAGAGGACATCTATCTAGAATGTATAAAGAATTGGGTAAAAACCAGATCCCTCCAAATTCAAAGACACAATCGAAAAGTGGGCATCTGAGATGAATATGCACTTCTCAGATGAAGAACAACAAATATCAAATGAAAAAATGTTCAACATCATTTGTCGTTTGAGAATTGCAAATTAAAACAACAATGGAATTCCATCTCACATGGAAAGAATGGCTCTCATCAAGAAGTCAACCAATAAGAAATGTTAGAGGGGCTGTTGGTGGGAATGTAGACCGGTACAACTGCTATGGAAATCAAGGTAGAGACTCCTCAAAATCTAGGATTGGAGGTCCCATTCAACCCAGCTCTTCCCCTCCTGGGTATCTTCCCAGAAGAATTAAGAAAACTATACCACAGTGATATACGTATACACAAGTTTATAGCAACACAATGTGTAATAGCTAAATCTTCGAAACAACCCAAATGAGGTTGGCAAAAAGACCCTTACGAAAATACAAAAAAAAAAGCCAGCATTAGAAAAGAATGATGGTGGGAAGAGGTTATGAAGGATGTAATAGGTTTCTGGGTAGGTATAGGATTGCAGTGGCTGCTTTATCATCTCTGTGCCCTATATGTCCTTAATCTTTATTCAGATAGTCTTCTTCATCTTAGGTGTCTTGGCTCCTGCTCACTGAGAAACCCACTGTGACTTGTGAGAAGGGACTAGGCTCAAATAGATTGGCTGAAGGATTACTTGGTCAGAAGGACTACGAGAAAGAGGTCATGGGGGAAAGCATACAGAATTTTGTTATGCTTCATTCCTTTGAGATTAAACTTTGTTTTATAGGGAGAATCACACATGGACTCCAGTTATGACTTCCAGAGCAGATGGCCTCTTGCATCAGTTTCATACCTTTCTGTTTTCTGCAGTCCTAGGGATTGAACCCAAGGTCTATGCACTGAGCTATATCCCTAGACATTTAAAAAGTTTGTGAGGGCCAGTGAGATAGCTCAGCAGACTAAGTGCCAGCTTTGGCAAGCATAGGAACCAGGGTTCAATCCCCAATCCCACATGCCACACCAGCTGTGCCCTTGGGCACGCTGAGCTGATCACCAAAACCGGACATAGTGGCACACACTTGCAATCCCAGCACTAAGACTGAAACAGGAGCATCACCACTAGTCTGAGCTGTGTAGCGAGACCCTGTAACAAATACATAAAATTAAAAAGGCCTTATTCCCAGTTAGGAAGGAATATCATTCCTGCCCTCTTGAAGGATCTACCTCTTTTTTCTAGTATGGGGAACCGAACCCAGAACCTCCTGCAGGTTAGGCAAGTGCTTTGCCACTGAAGTACATCCTCAGCCCTTTTAAAATTTTATTTTGAGACATAGTCTCACCAAATTTCCCAGGCTGGCTTCCTGTCTCAGCCTCCCAAGAAACTGGGATTAATGACCCTACATCTTAATGCCATTACGGTGGCCATTAAATGTCAACACCTGAATTTTGGAGAGGCCAGAACTATAGCAGGATAACGTTAATGAAATTATAAAACAACTAGTTAGCTTAAAATGTAGACTCCAAGAAAATATATTTCACTAGGTTGGAACAAAAATGTTCATTTATTCACGCATTCATTCAATTCAACGACTATCTATGGAGTGCCTACAGGAGGCAGGTGATTTCCTGCTCTTACAGAACTGACTCTATTTTGGGAAAGTTAAATGGTTTTTAAAATAAAGCTCAAAGGTTGTGCAGCCTTGGGGAGAGGCAAAGCAATGGGAAATTAATGAAGGAACACTGGCTGAAGACTCAGGTGACCTAAAAGCTGATCTTCCCATTGCCAGAAACTCTCAACTGCCTTCAGCAAGTCAATACTCTTGGCTTTATGTTCCCCGCTTATCCAATGACGACTTGAATTTATTGCTAAGCTTCCTTCCTAGACTCATTACTTCTATAAATATGAGTGTTTACCAAGTAGACAGACATGAAAATGATGGTACAGTGTGAAAAGTGCTGTTTATCCGCCCCTCTTGTCACTCCGATACCCCTCCACACATAAGATGTGTCATATGGTTAGAAATATGTTATTAAAAAGGGCAAGGAGTCAAAGACACTATCCAGTAGCCTTTCTTGCGGTGGAACATTCAGCTCTATGCGGGGCTATTTGTCCCTACCAAGATTATAATCTACACAGTGATTTGGCCATTTGCTGCTGTGCAGTTTTTAACCCTTGTCTGTGAACCCCTCTTTTGTTTTGTAACATTTTGTACATTTTAAATTGATATATAAAGGGCAGAATTATTTGCAGTCATGACCAAAACTGTAAAAACTGCAACGGAACATAGACCATAAAGGTGGTTGACTACAGCCTGGCGTGGTGGTGCATGCCAGTAATTCCAGCACGGTAGGAGGCTGAGGCAGAAAGATTACACGTTCGAGCCCAGCCTGGGTAATTTAGCGAGACCCTGTCTGAACAATTAAGAACCGTTGACGTGAGTCAGTGTGGGGAACTCACCGTCGCACCGCTTAGGAACTCAAGAGCTGTGGGTGGTGCAGGATGGTACAGCGCTTGCCTAGTGTGCGTGAGGCCCTGGCGCCATCCTCAGTGGTGCAAACGCTAAAGGTGGTAACAAGGAACTTCTGGTGAAAACATCAGGTTCACCCCCGCTACCAACAATCACCTGAAGCTATCTTCCAGGCACTTAACGGAACCATGATCCCAAGCCTAAAAGAACATTCATAATTTCCTTTCGGGAGGCCCCGCCCTCCGCTTGTCACCTTCGTGCGTCAAAGACCCGTAGTCGTCATAGGAAGGGAAAAAGTAGATCTCGTGAGATTCTGCGACGGGATTTCGAAGTTAGGGAACAGCAGGAGCGCTTGCGCACTGGTCTCACCACCTCGGGGCCGCACGCGGGTAGGTAGACGAGAGCCCAGAGGAGGGGGAGCGGAACGTGCTGGCATCTTTTTTTTTTTCCTCCCGCAGCTCGTGCGGTGCGTGGGTCTGCGGGTTCGAGAAGGTACGGAACACCCGGCCTTACTCGGCTTTCACAGCTCGCGTGTGATTGAGGAGGAAGCCCTCCTGCTCCTCCACGAGTTGGAAGAGTGCAGCATTCGCGCTCCCCAGTGTCTGGCCGTGAGCTTGTTGTGCGCCCCTTCTCCCTTTAACGGTAGCCCCCACGCACACACCCCAGTCCCTCAGAGTTGGTCTTGGCGCCTCAGCGCGCCCCCCTCACCCAGCCCCTTCCCAGCCTATCCTGATTCCCTCTGGCGGGTAGTCGGTTTCGTCCCTGAGCTCCCTGCTTGAAGGCGGAGAAGATGGCTGGAGGACGTCTACTGCTGGGGGGCGACTTCCTGTCGCCGCCGCCGCTGCCCCCCCTCCCGCCGCCACCGCTGCCGCCCCTCCCGCCGCCCCCGCCCGAGCCAGTGCTGGAGCAGTGGCGCTATAGCCACGAAAGTGACTGGCAGTGGGCTCTGCGGCGTAGCTTCATCTGTCGGCACCTGCACAGCTATCCCGGGGCTGCCCTCGACCAGCTCCTTGCGCTCTCCGCCGCCTGGACCAACCACGTTTTCCTGGGCTGCAGGTGAGGAAGGTGTCAGGGGATAGGGAAAGGTAGCAGGGTTTTGAGGGGGGGGGGTAGAGACAAGGGTGAAGTATCGGTGATTGATGGAGGTTGGGTTAGGAACAGGGTTGGGGGGATATCGTTGATGGTGGTTGGGATAAGGAAGGGAGTGAGATGCGGATGATTGGCTTGGAGGCTGCAAATTTGAAGATGCTGAAGGGTACCAGAGGCTTTACTACTGGTCTGGGGTTAGGGTGGCCGACAGTGGTGGTAGGGAATGACCTAACAGCTGGGAGGGTGCAAAGATCAACGGCCCCTCCCGGACCAGGGACAGATAAAGCAACTCGTGGAAGACGATTATTAAGAGGTGGGCATTGTGGTTAGCGAAGGTATTGGAAAGTGTGAGAAATGAATAGCAGAGCATTAGACCTGCGTAGGGACTTCCAAAGATGCAACATCTGCAGAGAATGTTCGATGGGCTGCGGGGGAAGGGGAGGGGACCCCGCGGTTCTAATCTTAGTCTCCTGACCGCTGTCTTCCATCTCCGTTAGATAAAACATCCCCCTCTACTGAAGTCCCCCAGCTGGGTCTTTCTTACTGTCTGCTCCTGGGGAGGTAGCAATGTATCAAGTCTCTGAGGGAGCGGCAGCCTTGTTTGTAGATTTGCGCATAATGTATTTGGATTCAAACAAAGAAATGGATATATCTGTTACAAATATGGATTGCTCTCTTTTTACCTTAAATGGGATAAGAAGGATTAACATTTGGCGTTTGGTCAGGTTTTTATGGGGGGTGGTTCATGCGTGTATGTGCGTGTATTTGTTTTCCCCTTTCCTCGAACCTGAGCAGGCCTCTTTGAATGCTCCTTGCCTTCAATGGAGACTGCAGTATGGTTCCAACGCAGTTTTTTTTTTTTTTTTGAACAAGCTACTTGATGCTCCATCCCTCAGAACTCCCAAATTGGCCCTATGCTTGACTAATCATTCCTTTGACAGACTGGTGGGCTTTTTTTGTGTGTGACATTCCTGCGTAATAGTGATTTTTTTATTGGGAAGTATGGAAAATTATCAGATCCAGTTCAGTTCTGGGAATGACTATAAAAGATGCAGAAAAATAGGATTGTCCAGTCCTACCCTTAATTGTTGAATATGGCAACATTCAGTGTGACACTGATCTCATGACAGAAATGTAGTTTTTCCTCTCTTCTCTAGATTAGTATAATTTCTATCTCTGGAGATAATGGATATTTCACTGGAGGAGCTGGTTACCATTAAGGAAGCCTCTGTAATGAATAGTCAGTTAAATTCAGTTGACCTTCATGTAACAGTGTTCTTACAGTTGCAAAGGTACCTTTATCAGTCTACTGAACATCACATAAGACCGTGGGGACTCACGGTCCTTAAATCTTAAGGAGGGGAGAATAACCATCCTTTGTTCTAATAATAAAATTGACCTTCTCTCTGGAATGTAAGCTTCTGAGAGAAAAGAATTTTACTTTCTTGTTCTCATCCTCATCTTCAGTGCCTAGAAGAATAGCTGCTCAATAAATGTGGTGAGTGAAAGAATGTATATAGCTTTATACCATAGAACACATTCTACATATTTGTGATCTCATTTAACAGCTGTCTTGAGAGTTTAATGACTTGTCCAAGGTCCCACAAATGGGGCTAGGAGCAGGGTTTTCTGATGTCCTGTCTGATGCTTTTTTCTCTGAAACACAGCTGCCATATTTAGGAAGGATGGACCAGAAAGTGACTGACATAAAAAAAACTACGTCACTGTATCTCAGGATTTCATTCTAAGAACAGCAGCCTTATACATACAGAGCAATAACACAAACCAAGCCAGTGGTGGTTGTCATTAAAAGCTTAAGCATGTTTTGTATGTATGTGCGTGTGTGTGTGCTTGTGCATCTGTCTGTCATAGTATGTCTATTAACATCATATTACCTTGCAGCTAAGTCAGTTCAGATAGTACAAGGATTACCTTAACATTATCATATAGCACAGCTGAAAGGTAGTCTTTGCATTATATTTGTTAATTTTAGATATAGGAGAGAGAGAAGGGCTGATAGCCTTGGGAACTAGAGACCCAGTGCAATCTTCCCCTTTCCGCAGGCTGTATGTTCTTATCTTGAGATGGGCAAAATCTGTACTCTCGTACTTGGTGTTAATGTCGATGTTTGCAGGGGTCTTGTTTCTGTGGCTGGAATACTTTCTCTCTGGGAAACTGCAGAATGCATGGTGACATAACCCTTTGTAAACTTAAATTGTTAATTTGTTTCTCAAGACTCATATCTAGAACAAATTATCAACAGTTGTAAAAAGAGAACTCTGTATTTTTTTCCCCATCTTAAAGGACTTTTGTGTTTCATTTGAGTTGGGGCTAAAATAATGTCCTAGTTGAAGGTTATCTTTGAAAATTTATCATAAACCCATAATGGGGGGAGCTCAAATGTCCTGCGAGGCACAGCATATTTCATTCTTGATGGTGGTAATGGCAGTTTCCATGGACCAACGTTGAGTATCTTCTTGACTTTGTAATTGTGGTTCTCACACTTAAGCAGGCATCAGAATCACCACTTAGGCTTGTTAAAACACAGGTTGCAGGGGCCTGCCCCCAGGGTGTCTGATTCAGGTTTAAGAAGAGGCCAGGGAATTTACACTTCTAAGAAGCTCCCAGGTGGTGTTGCTGTTGCTGCTTCTCCAGCCCCAACTCTGAAACCCATTGCTCTGTGAGAGAAAATAAAACTCATTTCCAGTCTACATTTTCATCATCTCCTACCTCATTGCCTAAGTAACCAAGAAGCTCAAATAGCTGAAATTATTTTTCTTCATTTTTTACTGTTTCATAAAAACTTCCTGAGCATTGTTTTCTGGAAGCAATCTCTATGATGATGTCTTATGACTAATGAAAAATTAGTATAGTCTTCTATTTAACTACATATACAGCGCCTAATAGTCTGTAGAAAGCATGGGGATCTATGTGATTTTTATTTACAGATTATAGTGTTTCGGTTTTGTTTTTTGTTTTTTATTTTGGGAGAACTGGGGATTGAACCCAGGCCCTTGCACTTACTAGGGAAGTACTTATTCCACTGAGCCATCTCCCCGGCCCCCTAGTGTTTGTTTGTTCATTAGCACTGGATATTGAACCCAGGGCATCATGCATGCTAGAGCATGCTCTACCACAGAACTGCATCCCTATTTAATTACCTGGAGCATTCAGTTTTCCATTGTTGACCAGTAGGATTAGGAGCAAAACCCTGACCTGCTTATCTTTGATGAGAAAATGGACCTTAACATGAAATTATCTTTGCTCCCTTATTTTTTTTTCCTCACTGATAGGAGACTGGTGTTTATGGACGGGGAGATGGCTCAGTGGAATAAGCACTTGCCTGGCAAGCACAAGGGCCTGAGTTCAATCCCCAGTTCCACCGAGAGAGAGAGAGAGAGAGAGAGAGAGAGAGAGAG